GTGGGGTACGGGAAGGCATACGGCCCGAGGCGGACTCTTGCGCCTCCTCCTTTGAGCGACACGAATGTCCATTTTGGGGGAGTTGAGGTTGTAGCACTTTATTTGGACGTTGGAACAAAAAAGTCCTTGTCGGTCTACTCCCACTTCCTCCTCCCCCGACCTTGCCATATACCCCAGAACGGCGGGCCACGAACTCCACACTGGGATTTCTCTATTCCACCTTGTACATTTACTTCCGTTTCTGACGCGCGACGCGACAGCGACTTGAATTATCCGGAGCGGCATGCCTATTCCCACATCCCAGAGGCACAGTCGACCCAATAGCCCCCCCACGAACTCGACAAACTCAACAGCCACCCCGCTCCGCCCACGGATATCTGGCGTGTTCAATACACCATCGTCAGGCACTTCATACTCTCCAACAGTGACCCAGGGCGCGCATCCCCAGAAGCTGAACGTTGTGACGCGTGTAGCGATCGAGGGAAAGGCAAAACACGGTCAGGATGGTGCTGGAATCAAGATGTACCTCAAGGTGTGTGGCGAATTCTGTGGCCAAAGGCCCGCAGCTGAATTTTTGGCCGAGATTGCCCTCCCATTAGACAGCGTCACTCCAGGATCTACCATTTCGCTGTTTCCCGGTCAGTTCCTGTGTATCCGCATCACCGACATATTGCTGACTTGAAGTGTAGAGGAGAGTGTCAAAATTCTGTCCTCGCAGGTCCATCCATTAGACAACAATTCTGTCCCATACGACTTTTCGTCTGACCTGTCGCCGCTTCTTCACCATGCAGCGCGTGCACTTAACCGTGAGCTATATATTATCATTTACATTGGCGCCAATGGTTGACCTGTCTACAGTTCCAAGCCGCTCATCCGAGTCCTACCACGCCGCCTTCGGGTTGTCGCCACCCGCCACAAGTGCCTCGGTCGCTGGTTCCGTTCGGTCAAACAAGTCCAACGGGTCTACAACCTCAAATAGAAGCGCGACACCACCCGTAGACAGCAAATACACGGGGCACATCCTAGTCAGTGGCTACCACATCTCGTATGTGCTCCCCAAGGCGTTTCCCGCACGATACCAGGAGAGCGACGGCTACTCCCGGTCCTCGGGCAGCGTCCGGCGCCCCTCCATCATAGAACGGAACAGCGTTCAGTTCATGGCAGCCATCGACATGTGGGTGCCCTACGCCTCTCGGCCTCCGAGGTCCCCGTATCTGGTACGTTCCCCCATTTTCTGTGCTCTGGCGTTGAACTGACTCGTCCAGCTCTCCATTCCCACTCCGCGATGCCTGCACAACAACGTGCGGCTCCGCATCTTCCCGCCGACGGCCGTGTCCGCCTCGTTCGCGTCGCTCTCGTCCGCCGACGAGGAGGCCGGCTCGTGGGACCTCACCTCGGACCCGCATGTTACGCGCGCCACGTCGTCGCGCCAGTCGCGCTCCGGCACGTTCTCCTACGGCAACATCGCGGACGACGAGTCGAGCGACTCGTCAACGACGGGATTCTCCGACGGGTGCGGGATACAGGGCACATTCCCCAGCGCCGAGCGGATCCGCGTGCGGTGGGCGAAGCCGACGAAGGTCGTTGGAGGCGGCGACGATGGGCGGCGGCGGGTGGGGGTGAAGGACGTCAAGGGGGAGATGACGTGTGCCGTTCTGGGCAAGATGTGGGATCCAGAGCAACAGCGGGACGGGATATTGATGAATGTGGAGTACAAGGGGACGTGTAAGGGCGTTTGGTTCCCTGGTGTCGCGACGATGCTCGGGATGGACGTCAGTCTGGAGGCCAAAGGCTCAGACGTATCCTGGGTGCCGGGGCAACCCAGCGACTGGCAGGTGGGGGGAGGTGCTGGGTATACCGGATTCGACGTCGGTGTCGCTCCGAAACCCGAGCCCCCATCGAGACACGATTCTTTAGAGTCGAGTTACTCTAACGGACCTCAAATTTTTCTCTCCGCGGAGCGACCGCCTTCAGGCATGTCGAGGCAAAGTTCGACATCCTCGTCTTCTTCGCTTCTCCGGGGACCTCTTCCCGTACACAACGTTGCCGAGTACTCTTTCGAAGGCTCAGGTCCATCGTCTGTCTCTGCATCACAAACCACCACCTCGATGGAGTCATCTGTCGGCTCTCTCCTTCCGTCGTCCACTCCCTCGGTAGAGCCGACTCGTCGCCCCCCGGGCGTTCCGGTCACAATACACGTCAATATGAACGAACTGACTCTTCCGACATCCAAAAACTCCTTCCCGTTCTGGATATCGGGAACCGTATTGATCACGCCTCGCCCTCGACCCGCCGCGGCCCCCGCCCCATCGCGCAACTCTTCGCCCGTGCGCGGAGAGAACGAGCCGGATAGCCAGGCGGTCCCTATCGATCCGGAATCCATCGTAATCCCCCGCTTCACTGTCCTCGCTGCGGATAATGAGTCGGTCTCCACCATCGTGCGCAATGAAGTGGACCCCAACTCGCCGTGCACCGTCGAGGTGAACAACAGCTCCCAGAGCGGCGAGTCTTACCAGCGGGGGCCGAGTCCCAGCAAGACGGTGCTGCACCGCGGAGAGTACGCCAAGTGCGTGGAGCGCACGCGGATCGCGGTCAAGGCTGGCATCGTATTCGCGCCGACGCCCATGCCCAACGGCGCTACCGGCGTGAACGGGAAGCTGCACCCACCAAGCCGCCCGCGGACGCCGAGCACCGCGCAAACGTCCCGCGACCGCGTGCCGTCGACGTCCACGCGAGCGATGTCGCTCCTGGGGATGGTCCCGGCGCGCCCCAAACGCGATGGTGTACTGATGATCCCGAGCGTGGTCGCGACCGTGACGCCGCTCGTCGTCATGCCGGACAGCACGGCGAGCCGGCTCGCGACGGTGCCCGCGGCGTACGCCGTTCGCGTGTGCCTCGCAGCGCCGGTGGATTCCGAGTCGGACTGGCTCGAGTTTGGGCTTGCGAAGCACGGGTCGGGGGCGTCGGGGGCATCGGGCGTGGGGCCGCCGAAGGTGGACATTGTTAGCGTGAGCGTGGACGATGTGCCTGTGTTGTATGAGACGAGTGTCGCGGTGAAGCAAGAGGAGGCGGGCGTTGGACTGCCGTTTGAGCAACTGAGCGGCCAGGAGTGGGTTAGTTGGGTGAAGTTGCGGGTCGGGGCGGCGGGCGGCGGGCGCGTTGTAGTTGATTATGTGGTCAAGGAGGTTGGTGCTCAAGTCCCGGGTAGCACCGACAAGAAGGGGAAAATGAAGGCAAAGGACCAAACACAGTTTGATGTGTATTTGCCATCGTTCGGAATACCGGTGGGGAGGTTGGAGGTCAATATTGATGGCATTTCAGGCAAGTCTCGACTTCCGGTTTTCCTTCGCTTGTATTCTAATCCCGCTTCAGGTCTAGAAATTTCGTCCCTACGATCCAACTTCTCCCATCAGCAATCCGTGAGATCGGGTCGGAGACTGCTGCATTATTCTTTGCAGGCGTTTTTCTATCCCCACATATCTTTGGACATCCGTTTAGACCGCCGCTCTTTGCACCCTTTCTCGCTTTCTTCGAGCAGTTTTGGGCAACTCACAATACTTCTCGTATCTTGGACGATTCTTATTCTCGGATCCGTGCATCTCGTTCGGTTGAATTCGGCAGTGTATAAACTCTCAAATTCACTCGAAGGATATTCCCTCGCTGCAAGCTCAGGGTGGAATGACGTCCCTGAGCCTCTCACGATCACAACCACCGCTTTTCAGGCCACTCGATGGCCGTGGTTCAACAGCGATTCCATATCGGACTCAGCTTCGGAGTCTATACAACCCAGCCGCAGCAGTACCGCTTCGGTAGCGATAACGTCTGCTCCAGCCGCCTCCGTCGTAATAGAGACTCCTCGCGTCTCTGCGGTCCCCACATCCGAACCGTCTACCTCCGTCGCTGTCGCGCTTTTCCGGCCTCTGCTCTTCAACATGACATGGCCCGAGGTTGATATGGATGTGGTGCTTGAAAAGCTCTTGCTCGGCGCGGAGAAGCTTTGGCAGTTGTGCCGGAAAATATACCATTACCCTCTGGATCCCACTTGATAATGACATGTAACGACATTTTTTGGTTATGCTTATGATCTATGTAACGTAGAGGAGGAGGATTGTTGTATTTCACCTACGGGGTTTTAATGGAGGCTGGATTCGGTGATATGATGGGAAGGGTGCATAGAGGACTTGATGCAAAATGAAAGTACAAAATATAATCGTTATACACAGGCATTGATCTTTCACTCTAGAGTCCATAAGCCTGGGATGGGCTGTATGCTGCGGAGCCAGTCTAGAGCACATGAGATGGTCGTTCTCTCTGAAACGAGTAATTCCCTTACCTTTGACCGTGTACTGAGTGGCAGATTGTAGTCATGCGTGGGAGCGGTAAAACTCGAGAACTTACGCCTTTTTGGAAAATGCTGCCATCGTCTATTTGCCAACTTGGTCCAAAATCAATCCCTATTTCCTTTTGAAACATCTCGAGACGCGTTTGACAAGGTATACGGGAATTTCCTGCGCGGGGCGTGACGAGGCCAACATCCGGGTGGTAGATCGCCAGAAAGGCTATTACGGTGGGGGTCTGCCAAGCGAGCTGCGCATACAATTTCAGACCACCAACGGCGTTGATAATCTTTCCCATCCTTTCCTGGTGTTCGTCGAGCTTTTCATCGTAGTCGTTGTCGAAGAGTTTGTATCCGTAAAAATATGACCCGGTACGTTCGGGTGGCGGAGGGGGGAGAGCAAGTTCGCTGTCTTCCCTGCGAATATGTCAGTTAAAGATCGAATGAAAGAAACGAACAAACAGAGGTGGAAAGCGAGTCCCCATGAGTTAATGAGTGCACTGAGACAGGCCGAAACGCGGTCACGTGAAAAGAAACGATTTGCTCAGTTGCCCAATCTCACACCGGCGGTTCCCTACTTACAAGTGGCTTAACGAATTCTGCGGGAAATGAACAATTCGAAAGATGAAAAGGGACATGTTTCCAGTCAAAAAAAGCAAAATAACGACGCGAGCAGGATTTGAACCTGCGCCCGGAAACCGGAACAGATCACTTGTGAAGAGGATTCGAATCTGTCGCCTTAACCACTCGGCCATCGCGCCATAGGGGTTTGTCAAAGGTCTGAACCTCAGACTCCGGGGGATTATGAGTGGAATGAGTCAAACAAGTATGATAATCCAATTCCTGGTACCGACTTAGGGACCAGGTCTACCCGGAGAAATTTCCAATGTCCAATCGTGCGGAATGATCCGAATCCCTTTTACGGACGTCCGGTGATGTCGGGAACCTCCGGTCTAGACCTTTCCGCTTCTGGCCTCTCATTCTCAAAACCTGATCGTGCGGCTAGCTCCGAGAGCATGGGCCTAGACCTTATCTCTCTCTTTATAAAATTGCGTGTGTCCGAAGCCTTTTAAGCTCCGACTCTCCGCTTCGGAGTTTTCCAGTTGGACGTGGAGAGACGTGGTGCCATGACAGCCTCCGAGGCGAAGTGCCGGGGGCGCGGAGCGCCCCCGGCGCGCTCTTGTACAACTGAAAATTGACATGGTTACTTCGAAAGGTTTGATTATACGATGTTCGAGTGCTGTGGCCTCCACGGCATTTATCTCTCCAGGATCAAGCCTCATTATATGCACAAATTACGATCATGACGTACATGCATATCTTATGCAAAAATTGACACTCAGATATGAGCTGAAATTCTAGCCCATTACCTGATTCCAATATCCTACTGCGAGCTGTCCAGTTGTCTGAGTAGTGTTAAATGTTAAGAGAGTAACAGACCACTATACAAGGGAGGTGCCAGGGATGCCCGGAGGGCCTTTTTATCCTTCCATCAAAAAAAAAAACCCCCCATCAGTGTAAACCCGGACGCGTCTACATTACTCACATGACCACGAACATTCAGCAGACCTCTCTTGCTTCTTGACTCTTTCTTGTACCACCCTCGCTCCGCTTAATTATCATACTCTGGTTCTGTTTATCTCTGTCCGACCGTTAGTGTTTCTCACCAGGAAAATCTGGTGAGTTTCCAATCAGATGGTCATGTAGACGGGCCAGGCCGTTTTGTCGCCTTGTCAGGGAGGTGGTCAGGGTGAGAGGGCGGGGAATTCTGAGCAGAACTAGTCGAGCAACTTCCACAATATTAATCGTATAATAGGTGAGCGAGATTCGAAGCAATTTCAAGCGCGGCCAATTTCCAGTCGAATAGAGGAAAAAGGACTCATACAGCTCTATTTCGACATAAGTACCTATCTACTTCCATGACATATCGCGAAACATGTACAGATACCAATACACAAGTCTATAGATATTATACTATATATACAAGTTTAACCAGCCAACATAGGTCCAGGTAGTGGTGGCCGATTCCTAGGCTTCTTGTTTCGTCTAGCAGATTTGGGCACCTCGCGTGGGCGGGAGGCCGCTTCGGCCTCGGCCTTAACACGCTCCTCCTCGGCGGTCCACCACTTCAAAAAGTCTTCCTCCGCCTGGCGCGCCTTCTCCTCCTCTTGTATCTCTCGCAGGGACCGCTTGTCCCGGCCAGACGATGTGCCTTGCTCGAGCTGCAGCTGTTGAATGGCTACGAACGAAACCCCCGGGACCGGGGAAGAAGGCGCTGGCGCTGGGGCAGGCGGTGGTTGAGTCCAAGCTTTGCTACTGCTTCTACTCCATGATCAGTAAAGAGAAAATATAAGGTAAACAAATTGACTTACGACACGCGGCGGATGCTCGCTGGGGCGGGGCGGGAAGTGGGCTGCCGGGATGGTGTGAAAACAGGACCAAGGTTCGGCTGAGGCGGCTGAGGTCCTCGCTGACGGGGAGGCGTCGATAGTGGTGCCGCTGCTGCAGCCGAAGGAGTAGGGAAAGCTTCCTGTGTGCGATTGAAACTCGTAGAAGGGGTGATGGGCGGCGAGTTTGTAGGAGACGCGCCGGTAGCTCGAGCGGCCGGAAGCTTCCAGCGCGAGGGTCCAGGGACAGTGTTAGGCCCGTCCGATGTTGTGTCAGTAGGCCCATAGAGCTTTTTGCGCTCTCGTTGGGGCGTCTTCTGGTGAGTGAATCGCAGGGACGATTCCGGAGTGCCGTTGGAATTACGGGGAGGAGTGATGTGCGAGGCTGCTTCCGCCATTACCGTCTTCATATCGACGCTGCTCACCAAGGTCGATTAATATGAATCATGAACGTTAATCTAACAACGAACCGAGGAGCAGAAGACGCCTTCCAAACCGGAACGGCAGATGCGGCTACTGCGTTGTCGATCGGAACCGAGGGTTCCGGCAGCACGACCGATTCTGTATCATCCATCTCGAAGATATCATCGATGGCGCTGGACGACGCTTGGGCGACAATTTCAGGACTGTTGGACAACGACGCAGTTCTAGACCGTCTGCGTTTCGACGGCTCAGGAGAGAGCGACTCTCTGCGGGCAGGGAACCTCGACGACGGGATAATGGGCTCTGGAAAATCTTGAAGGGCGAGCCAGTCTCCGTGAATCGCCATAGCTCTGTCCATCATGAAGTTCGAACGGGCCCGTGGGCTCTTCTCAGCCTGTTTCCTGGCCACGAATTTGGAGAGCTGCTTGATCAATGCGGGCGTCAAATCATCCAGCATACGGCTTTCCAGCAAAGTTTCCAGATTCGCGCCCATGTACTCTTGGATGCTCTCAACCAGCTGTTGCGCGTGGAAATGAGACGCGTCAGCAAGTACGTAGCAGACATTGTTAATGTCTGTCCATCTCAGAATGACGGCAGAGCAGAGCAGAACCAAGCGATCAAGCAACAGCTCGGTCTGCACAAACGTATCAATAAATGCTAAAAGTGTCAGGGAAAATACTCCTACAGCAGCAGCCATAACATCGAACATGAATTCCAAGACTTCATCCACAGAGTGTGCAAATTCTGGCGAGGAATAAAATAAGCTGCAGGTCAAGTCGGTAAAAGAAATACTTGCCGAGAGTCTCGAAAATTTCTGCATCCCCACCGCAGCACATATATTTGAAGACGTACTCCATGACGTGCCACCGCAAATGTTTGAGATTAACCTTGATAGTACCGTCGGCATCCCACCGCTTTGACGTCCAGTCATCTTCGTCGAAGAAGCTAGAAAATACGGGGCAACGCGCACGCAAGATTGCCGAATGGCAGTACACGTCCCTGTCAGCCAATTGAAGTACGACGTCCGGAGCGATGGGTGACTTGCTCCGGTCGGATTTCCCGTTCTGTACCGCGCGGAACAGTTGCTCCATATTCCGCACGATGGAGGGTGAAGGAGTGCGCTTGGCCAGGGATTCAAGGGCTTGTGCGAGGAGGGGAAGGTCCAGGATGCGCGCAAGGCCCTGCAGCTCGAGCTTCACTTGCGCAGGCTTGATCTTGCGCGTTGCCAGTTCATGCTGCAGCGCCGAGGTAAGACGAGGATCCCAAATCGCCAATAGCTCGTCAGAGTACAGATACTCCAGCAGGACAAGGACGGTTATGGGCTGGCAGCCCTTTATATCCACGCGTGTTCTTACAGGCCCCGACGCGGAGGAAGCCCTGAGTGAAATCCTCGACTGGGTGTCATGAATTGGACTTCCCTCGAGAACACTGCATAAAACATGGGAGCGGGCGCCGAGTATAACCCGGTGGGCGGGGAAAGCGGCTTTGGCGATATGGACCATGACATCTGCTCCATGGCGGGTGGAGAGGACGGCATTACTTCCAAGCAGTTGGCAGAGACGGCTTATCCGTGCAAAATCGGCCTCTATCCCGGTATCCTCTGGATCGTCGCCTTCGTCGCCCACATATTCCCACTGAGGCAAGTCCAGGACAGGCTCAGATCTATCCTTCGAACGAACGGCTGGCGGAGGTGGTAGATAAGGCTGAATTGTGGCTAGGTCTCCTGACATTGTATTTCCCTCGATGCGGATCGGAACTGGTTTGAAATCCACCCGAAGTGCGCCGAATGCGCCGGTGCTGTTGGCACAGACCTGCGTTACCCGTTGTATAAATGGTACACGCTGGAACTTGAAGGTTTTGTTAGACGGCGTGTTGTTTCCCTGTCCCGGTTTGCTACCGCGAGTGCGAACGAATACGTGGCCCGATTTGGTGCAGATGATAATGCTGCCATCGGCACCAAGGGCAACGTCCCGAACCGCACTGAATTGTTTCCGCAGAGCCCAGACGCGCTGAGGCTTGAATCCCAGTCCGCGACCCGCATTTGCGTCCGTTTCGCCTGGCTCGGGTACTGAGAACGTGAACAATTCACCGTTGGAAGATAGAGCAGCAAAGGCATCCTCGGAACTCGTAATTTTGGCGATGTGGGCATCCTTGAGTTTCATGGCCTGCGGTGGTCGGTACGGTTGTATTTCGGACGGAAAAGCATGTATGGGGAAGCTGAAAATGACTTCTGAGCCCTGCCTTTGATTAAAAGCGAGGGGGAAACGCACATAATCTTGATGTATCTGTCGTTCCAGATACACACGACGTCTTGGGTGTCAAGGAGGCAAGCCATAGCATGGTCCTAAGCCGGCGGACTTGGACTAATGACATGGAAGAAAAAATATGCACGCACAGTCAGCGAAATCGCCACAACCGGTCGAACAACTTTTGCTACTTTTCGTGGAATGACCTGAAAAGGCTGGGCAGCCTTATCGTACCCTAGAAAGGTTAGGAAAACGAGAGGAAAGTGTAAGCTGTCAACACACCAAGTTGTCCGTTGTTGGTACCCCAAGTAAACACCTCGGTGGCGGTCCAGCATGCAGAACTTTGCTTGGATGCAGCGACACCTTTAACCACCTCCTTCTTCAACGGTCCGTGGATCTTCCGCGGGGAAGCTTGTATCGGTTCTTCAAGTCGTCCGGTGGTGGTTGAGGGCTCGACGACATAACCGAGCTGGTGAAAGCGCGACAAGCCCCAACTAAGAACTTCGCCGGCGCTCGTCAGAGCCAACGTATGGTCCTGACCCAGTGCGACAGCGACGATCGAATGAGACAGTTGAGGGAGCGGGATGAGACTGTACTGCGTGTGCTGTCCTGGACCCAAACTGTGGGCACACGTCAGCTGGGTTGGGTGAGGAGACGTGGAGTTCTAATTTACCGTCCTCCGCTACCAAATCCACACATTCGCAG